CCCAATTTAACCCAGCCTTCAGTCGGGAATTTTAAATTGCGCAATTCCCCCCCCCCCCAACGCGTCGCTAGCCAAGTTACGCTCCCTTCGGATCTCAGATCAAGGGCCAATGTCACCCTGACCGCCGCAAAGGTTGAATTCTTAGAGTCCCAGGTTCACATGAGTGAATGTGTGGTGGATCAAAGCCATCACGCAGGCGGAGGGGCCAATGCTTTGGGATTTCTCCCTGAATGCAGAAAGCTAGCATACCATGCTAAGGTGGGGGGAAGGGAAGAAGAGGAGAGATTGGATTTATACCCCGCCCTTCACTACCCGAAGGAGTCTCAGAGTGGCTTACAATCTCCTTTTCCTTCCATTCCGCACAACAAACACCCTGTGAGGTCGGCGGGGCTGAGAGAGCTCTTTCAAGGACCGCCCTTGAGACGACAGCTCTGAAAGAACTTGTGACTGACCCAAGGTCACACCAGCAGCTGCATGTGGAGGCGTGGGGAATCAAACCCGGTTCTCCCAGATTAGAGCCTGCCACTCTTAACCACTACGCAAAACTGGCTCTGAACATGCAGACTGCAAACAGGCGACAGCTGACTTGCAGGGATCTTTTTCTCTGTAATTTACCAGCCAGGATGTGACATGTTGAGCTCATTTTTAATACATGAATCTGCACAGACAGTTCAGGGACCCTTTGATACCATTCCAAGAAGCAGGCTCGATTCCAAACTTTTAATAGCTTCTGTCCCAAAAGTATCCAACTGAGGAGTCTTAGAAAGGAACAAACACTTTATCAGACAAAAAAAGAATTAAGTCAACCAAAATCAGCCCTGAAATGAAAGTGAATCGGGTTTCTCTACCAAGCCTCCCGGAAGTGGGAATTTCATTCTAAGTTAAGCATATATAGACATGAAAAGGCTAGCGATATTTTGCCATCTGAAAACAAGGATTCTAGGCTCTGTCCCGGTTGGGGCAGAGAGTCCTGGTTGTGTTATCTACAGACCTAAAAATTCCTTCTTGGAAAGCAATTCAAAAACACCGTTTCTTCCGCTCACAACTCCAACCAACCCATTCCAGACATTCAGCTGTTTTTGCAAAACTTTTATATCGCGGCTAAGTCAAGGGAAGGGAGCATTTGCGCTTTTGCAAAAAGGAAATTCAGGCACAAAGCAGAGAAGTGAAACATTCCTGCCGGCTCAGGGGTTTTCCTCGGCATCGTCGTCACGGATACCGCTCGGGCCTAGAAGCTTGCAAGGCACGGAAAAGAGTGATATTGAGAAACCGTTTCCGGTTTCACAAAGGCAGAGGAGACTTTGGAGCAAGGAATCCCGCCTTCCTCCCTCCAGATCGCTGCTGGGACGGACAATCGACTGCTTAAGCTCACCGGAGTGAACTCAACAAATTTTAGGTTGATGGACGCAAAACCCAGAGGTTGTGTTGGTGGAAATCACACACACACGACATTTCTGCCACCCTCACCACCTTTTCTTCGTGTCTTTTCATTCTGAGAATATTGTTTACAGTGGGGGAAAATTTCTTCGTGTCTTTTCATTCTGAGAATATCGTTTACAGTGGGGGGGAAACACACACACACACAAAAGAAAAGGGGTTATACGGCCATCTTTTGACCCCTGTTATAATGTTTCACCTCACTCAATATACAGAAAGCTCATTTGTCAGACTTTAAGTCCTTCTCTGTTGTCGTCGGACGATCTTCCTCGCGTGTCCCCAGTCGACGTGGCTCCGTCAGAGGCACCCTCTAGGAGCTGATCACGTGCCCTGACCACGTCTCGTGTTTCGTCCCGGGCGCTAGGTGGGTGATGACCACCTCCACGGCCTGCAGTTTCTCATTCTTGGGCGGGATGGGGCACACCTTGTAAGTGACCTCGTCGCCAGACACCGGGACGTATTCCCCTTCGATGCTGTCAGAGGGAAACAGACCACAAGGTTTCTGCTTTAATCACAAGGTTAAAGATGATGAAGATATCGATTAAAATCTCAGTATTTTATTTTGTATTCCATTAATATGTTTAAATAATCAGTAAGAATAAAATTCAGATTTAGATAAACAATTAAGACAATATTTAGGTTTTTGGTATAGAAACTTGTTCAACTGTTAAAGACGTATTTTCTTTTATCGTCAATATATTATTACTAATTTTAGGAGGGTTTTTGTTATTCCTTAAAGGGAGAATCTAACCCAACATTCTGTAAAATGGATGCTTTATTAATTGTTTCTATATTTGAATTATGTGATACATTTGGTAATATACAGGGCTTTTTTTGTAGGGGGGGAAAATCCCAGCAGGAACTCATTAGCATAATAGGCCACACCCAACAGCAGAAACTCATTAGCATATTAGGCCACACCCCGCGGCTGCGGATAGCCCGGGCAAGCCAGCCCTTGGACAGGCCGGGGAAGGCATGGGGAGGCATTTAAATGTCTCCCTGATCCTTCCAGCCCCCCCCGGCCTGCCCACCTCGGAGTCACCGGGGTGTGTGTGTCACTCTCCAGGCCTTCCCTCTGTAGCCACGCACACAAAGGTTTTGGCTGTAGTGGGCGTGGCCAACTCTGAAGCCAGCCGGAACTCCGTTCCTGTGCGTTCCTGCCCAAAAATAGCCCTGGTAATATATGTGATTTTACTTGTTGTATGTAACAATTCATGATATTTAACAAACTTGTGGAATGTATATTTCCCCCCTCCCCTTTTTCCCTTCTGTATCACATTTCCCTTGAGAAAATAATAAAAAATATTTTTTAAAAAAATGGCTTCCACTGAGAAACCACGCAAACGCGTTTGAAACAAGGGTTGCCTTGTTGGTCTGAAGTGACAGAACAAAGTCTTAGTCCAGTGGCACCTCTAAGACCAACAAAGTTTAATTCTGGCTCTAAGCTTCCGTGTGTGTGCACAGAATTAAACTTTGTCGGTCTCAGAGGTGCCACTGGATTCAGATTTTGAAATATGTTCTCGTTTAAGCTGCAAACCATTTGGATAGCTGGAACCACTGGATGTCAAAAATCCTTATTCGAAGCATACAAGCATGTAAAAACGGGACTCTTGAGTTTGGGTTTGGAATCCCAACTCTGCCTTAGCAAATGTTGGGGAGGTTGGGGGGGGCAGTGTCTGGGGAGGGTGGAGTTTGGAGAGGATGTGATGTCTCTCCCAGGTGACTCTCTAGGCTGCCTGCCTTAGTCTCTGTGGTAAGAAGTTCCTAGAGTGTCACAAAGCGGAGACCAGTTTTTCCCTCCCAACTCCTCAATTCCTCAGTGGCAGGAAACTGGGGCTGGGGTGGGAAGTTAATTCCCTGCCCCGGGACGAATCAATGGGAGGCGAAGACCCCGGAAGTATTGCTATCATCTCTCCATACAGGGCCCCCCTCTTAGACTAGAAACATGATTTGCGTTTCAAAACCCTGGAGGCTGAGGTTCTCAGCGATGTGTTGGTTGTGCCATTTGTGGATCTCAAAGATGGATTCCGTGATGTGTCCCAAGATGAAATATGCCCAGGATCCGAAGCAGAGTCCAGTGGGTACAGTTTGTCCTGGACGGTACCCAACTTCAAGTTGCCCCAGATGGAGGATTGATTTTAACAGCACCTCTATTAAAGCACACAGACACCCCTCCCTATAGATGAAGGGTATATCACGGGGCGGGGGGGGGGGGGGGGGGACAACGAGTTTCAATCCACTTCACTTGGATTCATCCTCCCGATGCGTAAGCAAGTTTGAAACCAAAATGAGTTATTGGGTAGCTATCCCTGGATAATTGAAACATCATATCTATGGCCATGAGCTTATTTAGGGCAGTTGTGCAGAGGGCTGGGGGGGGGGGTGGAGTTGATTTTTAAAGCACCTCTGTTAAAGCACACAGACACCCCTCCCTATAGATGAAGAGTATATCACGGGGCGGGGGGGGGGGAGGGGGTTAAGCCCATCAAAGAAAATTGGTCCCTGCCAATTAATAAGTCTACTAATTAAAACCAGCCACTCAAATGGGTATATTCCGTTGGGATGAATTCAAAGGTCTGTTTCTTATAAGTGAGCCCCGTCAGTCTTTTTTTGTTGCTGGCGTTCGTTATTTGGAGAGGGGTGGTAATTATGGCACATTTGACACCATTTTTACATAAAGCTGCATTTTTATAACACAGAGGCTGTGATCACACACACAAAAAAAATAATCCACTTTCAATCCACTTTAGGGTGGATTGAATCCAATTCAACAGGATTTTACTGTGTGAACTGGCAAAATCCAGTTGGAAAGTGCATTGAAAGTGGATTTCCCCCCCAGATTTATACCCCATCCTTCACTCAGAGTCTCAGAGCAATTTATAATCTCCTTGCCCTTCCCCTCCCCACAACAGACACCCTGTGAGGCAGGTGGGGCTGAGAGAGCTCTTTCAGGAACAGCTCTGGGGGAACTTGTGACTGTCCCAAGGTCACACCAGCAGCTGCATGTGGAGGAGTGGGGAACCAAACCCGGTTCTCCCAGATTAGAGTCTGCGCTCCTCACCACTGCACCAAACCGAAAGTGGGTTATTTAGTGTGTGTGACTGCAGTCAAAGAAACAAAGCCCATGTTGACAGTAAGGATTCTACCCAATTTCATTAGCGTGGTTGGGAAACACAATGACCACCATTTGATCCTGCGAAGGGAGAAGGTACACCAGTAACTGGGAGCTTCCTAGTTTTACCAGCTCCAGATTGGGAAATAGCTGGAGATTTTGGGGGTGGAGCCTGAGGAGGGCGGAGTTTGGGGAGGGAAGAGACTTCAGTGGGGTACACTGCCATAGAGTCCACCAGGGCTTTTTTGGCAGAAAAAGCTCAGCAGGGACTCATTAGCATATTAGGCCACACCCCGGACAGTACAGCTCATTAGCATATTAGGCCACACCCATGTTACCAGAAGTGTGGTCATCCAGCCACACCCACCGTTTGCTTCTTATTCTGTTTACCTTGTTTGTTGTCAAAACCCAGAGCTTTTTTTGTAGCAGGAACGCCTTTGCATGTTAGGCCACACATCCCTAATGTAGCCAATCCTAATGAGTTTCTGCTATTGGGTGTGGCCTATTATGCTAATGAGCTCCTGCTGGGCGTGGCCAACTCAGGAGCCAGCCGGAACTCCGTTCCTGTGCGTTCCTGCCCCAAAACAGCCATAGAGTCCACCTCCCAAAGCAGCCGTTTTCTCCAGGGGAAACTGCAGAGATCAGTTATCATCCCAGGGGATCTGCACGCCACCACCTGGAGGTTAGGAAAAATAAGCTCACCAAAGAAAACCACTCCTCTATCATTTTAACACACTTAGCTGTACTTCTATGACAAATTTCCTTGTATTAAACAACATTCATTCTTGTGTGAAGTGCAGACTGAAAAGAGCTTTGGGAAGACATTAGAAAGAGGTTGCGTCGATCCACATTATTGTCGTTCCTGCTAGCGCTACGTCAAGAGATTGGTGACAAACACCAACACTCTTTATCTCTTACATTTCTTGGATCCACGTGTTTCCAAATGAAGGAGTGATAATTACTGTTCGGGAACTTGAAAAACGAGGACTTTTCAGTCTGCTCGGTACACTTCACAGCTTTGTTAGGATGTCGTAAAGAACAAACATTCCAGGATCAGAGCCAAAACAGTGTTAAGAACAACGACATCAAGATTTTGCATTGTTTTGTATTGTATTTATGTTACTGTTTACTGGCTTTGCTTATGTCCATGAAATGCACTCCACACAAGAATGAATGTTGTTTAATACAGGAAATTTGTTATATAAGTACAACTGTGTTAAAATGACAGAAGAGTGATTTTCTTTGGCGAGCTCATTTATTCTATTATATTCGCACCAAAGCCTGTCTTGCTTTTGACCACCTGGAGGTTGGCAGCGCTAGACATCTCCAAATGGAAACAGCACTGGCCGCTAAAGTCAGGAACACCCCGGACATTTTGCATTCCGCAAAATCTGCGGAGGATCTGAACTCGATTCCCACCCCCGTGCAGAAGACTCACTCAGAAATGTGCACGAAAATATCCGGCCCGCCGTTCTCAGGGGTGATGAAGCCGTGGCCCTTGGAGCGGCAGAAACACTTGCAGGTCCCCTTGTAGGTGGGCCCTTCCAAAGCCCTCGCTGTCCTGAAAGGGACAAAAGAAAGTCCAGAAGGTGTCCAAAAAAAAGGAGTGACGGGGCAGGTGGCCAGGTGATTTGTGTGTTCCCCCCCCAGATTGTGCCATAGAGTCAAGAAAGAGCCAAACCAGACATCTACCAAGCTGCAAACCAGCTGCATTCATAAGAACATAAGCCCTGTTGGATCAGACCAGTGTGGGTCCATCTTGTCCAGCCTCCTGTCTCACACAGGGGCCAACCAGTTCCTCTGGAGGGCCAAAAACAGGGCAGAGAGGCCGAGGCCTTCCCCTGATAAGAACACCAGAAGAGCCCTGCTGGATCAGACCAGTGTGGGTCCATCTCCAGCCTCCTGTCTCACAGTGGTCAACCAGTTCCTCTGGAGGGCCAACAACAGGACACAGAGGCTGAGGCCTTCCCCTGATGTCGCCTCCTGGCTCTGGGATTCAGAGGTTGACTGCCTCTGAATGTGGAGGTTCCCCTCAGCCACTATGGCTAGCAGCCACTGCTAGACGTATCCTCCATAAATCTAGCCAATCCCCTTTTAAAGCTGTTTATTCCTATGGCCATCGCTCAGTCCTCTGGCAGCGAATGCCACATTCTAACCACTCTCCGGGTGCGTTCAGACGGGGCGTTTCAGCCGGCATAAACTGTACCGGTTGGAACCAGTGCAGTTTATGCCGACTGAAACGCGATCACACTTACCTCCCTCACAGCGGAGCCCATCGCTGTATGCCCGTTCACATGCTGCGGGCGTCGGCGTGTTTTTATTTTAAAAAACTCACTTTGAGCATGCGCATAGGCAGCCATCCACAGAATGGCGATCTTTGCGCATGCTCAAAACACCCCGTATTACATTTAAAGTTTAAAGGTAAGGACTTACCTTTAAAGTTTAAAGCCCAAACTGGCCTCCCTGAAGTCCCAGACTCCTCCGAAACGTTAAACTAAGGGCCTTTTCTTTTTTAAAAAAACAAACGCCGGGGAGAAGCTTCGCCCAAGCGCATATCGGCAACCTAAAAAAAATATGGCGGGCGAAAATCGGAAGCCTCGGGCTTCCGAACGGAAGTGGCTAGACACCGGTGGAGAGCGATCAGACGGGGGTAAACCGATTACAACCGTTGTACTCAGGATACCACCACTTGGGGACCTAGTGGCAGAGTACAACGGTTTAAAGGGCTTTGCAACGGTTAGGGACGGAAGGCAGGTGTTCTACGTGTTAGGGTTCACCGATTGCAACCGGCACCTATTCCGTTGCAAATGCCCCGTCTGAACGCACCCTCCGTGTAAAGAAGTCTTTCCTTTTGTCTGTCCTGAACTTACTGCCCATCACCTTCACTGGATGCCCTCGACTTCTACTCTTTTGGGAGAGGGGGGAAAGGTTCTCTTTGTCCCCTCTCTCCACCCTGTGCATAATTTGACAACCCTCTCTCCTGTCCCGTTCCCCCCCCCCCACTCGTCTCTTTTCTAAACTGAAAAGTCCCAGACGCTTCAGCCTTTCCTCCTAGGGCAGGCGCCCCAACCCCTGAATCATCTTGGTTGCCCTCCTCAGTTCTTTCCCCAGTGCTGTGATGTCCTTTTCGAGATACGGTGACCAGAACTGCATCTAGGCTTGCCAAGTCCCCCCGGGGTGCGGGGAAACCCCCGCCCCAGAGGCCCGTTCCCCGCCGGCGGCGGGGCGGGTCCGGGGGGGGGAACCCCACCCCCACATGCACGTCACCAGAAAGTGATGTGACGCCGCCGGGCACGCTGGGGGCGGGCCACGACCATCCGAGGGAAAACTCTATGGTTTTCCCTCGGACTCAAGCCGCAAGCCGGGAGTCCCCCTGCTGCGGCGATTGTTTCACTTGGCAACCCTAGCTGCAGGGCCCCTGATGGGAAGGCATCACCAGGCCGCCCTCTCACCCAGGAGGCCTTCGATGATGCCCCGACCATGCCTCTGTGACCAGTCTGGCTGGCTGCCTCACCTTGAGGTACTGGTCGAAACGGCTTCTGATTCCATGAAGGAACCAGCCCAATGTGGGGGGAAAGGGAAGCGTCCCTGTCTACAGGCCCCACCAGGCGTTTCCCTGGGTCTCTTCCATGCCTTTTCACCTCCCCACCTGTCCCTCCCTTGCACGCCCTACAGTTTTGACCTTTTGGTCTGGATGCTATTGTGACATGGGCGGGCAGGTGGCCAGTTGCTGGTGCTCCCATTCTTATGGGGTCAGGGCCCTACAAATTGAGCTACACACTTTCCGGCAACACACACACACCTACACACACACACCAAAAATAGAATTGCCAGGTCTGACTCAGGAAATATCTGGGGACTTTGGGGGTGGAGCCAAGAGTCTTCGGGGCGGGGCCAGGATGTGACATCACTTTTGTGATGTCACGACGGTTGCCAGGTGAGGCCGACAAGCCGGAAGGGAATTCTGGCCGACACATTTAAGCATTCCTTCTCAAAGCATTCATTTTAAATGAGCCAGTTTGGTGTAGTGGTTAAGTGTGCGGACTCTAATCTGGGAGAACCGGGTTTGATTCCCCACTCCTCCACTTGCACCTGCTGATGTGACCTTGGGTCAGTCGCAAGCTCTGGCACAGCTGTCCTTGAAAAAGAGCAGTTTGTGTCAGAGTTCTCTCAGCCCCACCCACCCCACAGGGTGTCTGTTGTGGGGAGGGGAAGGGAGAGGAGTTTGTAAGCCGCTCTGAGACACCTTTGGGTAGTGAAGGGCGGGGTATAAATCCAATCTCTTCTTCTTCTTCTTCTTTCCCACCATTGGAGATAATGGAGGATAGGGGGCATTTTCTTTTGGAGCACATAGCATTGGACCCCCTGGTCCAACCTTTTTGAAACTTGGGGGGGGGGGTTCCCCAGGAAAGGCACCACCAGCTATGCTGAAAAATCGGTTCCTTTACTTCAAAAAAACAGCTTCCCCCCACTGAGCTCCAAATACCCACGGATTAATTCTCCATTATACCCTATGGGGACTGGTTCCCATAGAGTATAATGGAGTGCCCAGTGGCCATTCCCCCCCCTGCTTTCTGACAGTCCTGAAGCAGGGGGAGGGACTCCAAACCAGGGGATCCCCTGCCCCCAACTGGGGGTTGGCAACCCTAACCAAAGAGGATTGCTAATGAAGTCACTGAATGGGTTCGGCACCAGGATAATGGATGTCCCCAGCCGCTGGTGCCCCTCCTCAAAAAACCTCCCAAGTTTCAAAAAAGATTGGACTGGGGGGTCCAATTCTACGTGCCCCAGAAGGCGGTGCCCCTGTCCTCCATCCGTGTGAACAGAAGCTAAAATCCCTGATCAGGCAGCCAAAATTGTGTGCGCTGGCACCCCCTGGCACAGCTTACAAGGAACACTGCAGCGCCTCCCCTTGTGGCAGCGGTGAACAGACACGAGGGTGCCACAGCGGGTTGTAAAAGCGGGATCTGAGAGTAGACGATGCCAAATCGTATAAGTGGAAATTTGAAGTGTGTGGGGGGGAAACAAGATGGCGGGCTCTTTTTGTAGCAGGAACCCCTTTGCCTGTTAGGCGACACACCCCTAATGTAGCCAATCCTCCAAGAGCTTACAGAGCTTACAGGAGCTACTGTAAGCTCTTGGAGGATTGGCTACATTAGGGGTGTGTCGCTTAATATGCAAATGAGTACCTGCTACAAAACGAGCCCTGCGTGACACGTCTACTATAAGATCGCCATCTCTGGGTTGGGAAATACCCGGAGATTGGGGGGGGTGGAGCTTGAGGAGGAGGGGGTTTGGGGAGGGGGGAAAAGGGGCTTTAGTGGGGTATACTGCCATAAGAGTCCACCTTCCAAAGCGGCCATTCTCTCCAGGTGAGCCGATCTCGGTCCTCTGGAGACAGATTTAATAGCAGGAGATCTCCAGGTGCCCGGTAACCTACAACAGCCTTTTGTACTTACGCAGAATACGTCCGAGTCCTCCGGGTTGGAAGCGGGCTGGGGATGAGATAGCCCCGCATTGGAGAAGGGGAACGCTCCCTCACCCGGCGGCCTTCCGGGAGCCTGAGGGGCCCTGGCAATGGGGAGCGCTCGCCTGGGGAAGCTGACTCCGAAGACATTCTTGGTCCCGAGGAAGATCTAAGGGGGGAAGACCAACGTGCCTTAACAAAGCTAGAATCCTGCAGCTGGAAGGGGCTCCCTAGACGCCATCTAGTCCAACCCCCCTGGCTCAAGGCTACCCAAAGCTAGAGCGTGTCCAAAGATGTGTGGGACGGCTCACCGCTGCCTCAGCAATCGGCTCCATTCCCAAAACGGCTCTTATTGTTAGGAAGTTTCCCCAAATGTTCAACCTCAACACTCCCCCCACTTTCCTGGAGTGTACGTTTGTGAGACATAACAAAAAAACAATCCTTGGACCTCTACCCTAGAGCAGCCTTTCATGGTGTTTCAAGAAGGGAATCCTCTCTGAGAGCCAGTTTGGTGTCATGGTTAGGAGCGTGGACTCTAATCTGGGAGAACCGGGCTTGATTCCCCACTCCTCCACATGCAGCCTCTGGCGTGACCTTGGGTCAAAGTTCTCTCAGAGCTGTTCTCTCAAGAGCAGTCCTCAAAAGAACTCTCTCAACTCTACCTACCTCGGTGTCTGTTGTGGGGAGAGGAAGGGAAAGGATATTGTAAGCCGCTCTGAGACTCCTTCGGGTAGTGGAGGGCAGGGTATAAATCCAGTTTCTCTTCCTCATCCTCATCCTCTTCCCCTCAACCGTACCCACTTGCTTCAGCCTCAAGTCAAGCAACGTAATAAAGAGGGAAACGTGTTTCTTAATCATAGAATGATGCTTCCGTTGACAATGCTGTCCATTTCCCCTCAGTCATCGATGTAGGATGAAATCTATCGTCATGGTTAGTCACAGCAATTTACACTCGATGCGCGAGAAGTTTGATTACCTTCGGCAGAGACACTGTCCCGTCAGCCAGCCGAGACCTTCAGAATATGCCCGCCCTGCTTCAAATGGGCTCCCGCCAATATGTCAGGGGCAGCTTTGATTTGATTATTGATTCTGGGTAGTTCTTGAAACCCTCGGCCAGCAATTCAGCACCCCTCCCGTGTACGAACACCAACAGCTAAGAGAGATGAACACCTCTCTGCCATTGTTACGGAAAGCGCCCCCAGAGGCACACATCTGGATCCAAGGAGGAGATCTCAGGCGAAGGCATTCAAAGCGACCCCTCCTATACGGCTCCCACGCGGAGCAGTTTTATGAATTATGCAGCAGCTTTCTACACAAACGTTTTGGCAAACAATGACGTGCCACCTGTCAGCGGAGCAATTTCCCGCCCTCCCTGAGGTAGCCGAAGTGCAAAATCTAAAGCGGTCTCTTTAGCATGACGAATGTTGAATCAGCCCTGCCCCGCCTAACTTGGTGAATCATGGAAGGGCTGGAAATTAACAGAGAGGAGGAGGAGGAGGAGGAGGAGGAGGAGGAGGAGGAGAAGGAGAAGGAGAAGGAGAAGGAGAAGGAGAAGGAGAAGGAGAAGAAGAAGAAGAAGAGGAAGAGGAAGAGGAAGAGGAAGAAGAGGATTTATACCCCACCCTTCACTTGGAATCTCAGAGCGGCTTACAAACTCCTTTCCCTCCCCCTCCCCACAACAGACACCCTGTGAGGTAGGTGGGGCTGAGAGAGCTCTCTTGAGAACTGCCCCTGAGAGAACATCTCTGAGAGAACTTGTGACTGACCCAAGGTCATGCCAGCAGCTGCATGTGCAGAAGTGGGGAATCAAACCCGGTTCTCCCAGATTAGAGTCCATACTCCTAACCACTACACTGAACCAACATCCCTTCAGGAAGAATAGGCATTTCTGCCACCAATGTTGCCCCCGAGGGTACCGCCAGAACCCTAGCAAGGAACGTACGTTTCTCCTCTACGATAGGAATTCTCCTGTTTTGGGTGAAGAAAGAAAGCCACTGATAGCTTTTTAAAAAAACGTCGCTAGTAGCTAAGAAAAAACACCGCTTGTAGCAGAAAGGATGTTCCAGAAGAGGACTTTGTGTGACAGTCTCGGAGATTAAAACAGCCCTTTAGTTACAAAGGTCTGGACAGGCAAGGGTGGATTGTCTTCAGATGCAGCTGCTAAAGAAAACACCACAAATTTAGATGGAGGAAAATATGCAGATTAAGTTGCATTTATGCACGCAGGCTATGAAAGGAAGTTATCCTGCTCTCTCACGAAACCATAAGAATGTAAGAAGAGCCCTGCTGTGTGTGTGAGTCCTCACACAGCGGCCAACCAGTTCCTCTGGAGGGCCAACAAGAGGGCAGAGAGGCTGAGGCCTTCCCCAGATGTTGCCTCCTGGCTCTGGGATTCAGAGAATTAGTGCCTCTGAATGTGGAGGTTCCCCTCAGTCACCATGACTAGTATCCACTGACAGACCTACCTTCCATGCATCTATCTAATCCCCTGAGAGCCAGTTTGGTGTAGTGGTTAAGAGCACAGACTCTAATCTGGGAGAACCGGGTTTGGTTCCCCACTCCTCCACATGCAGCTGCTGGTGTCACCTTCAGTCAGTCACAAGTTCTTTCAGAGCTGTTCTCTCAAGAGCAGTCCTTGAGAGAGCTCTCTCAGCCCCACCTATCTCACAGGGGTCTGTTGTGGGGTGGGGAAGGGAAGGGAGATTGTAAGCCGCTCTGAGACTCCTTCGGGTAGTGAAGGGCAGGGTATAAGTCCAATCTCTTCTCTTCTTCTTTTAAAGCTGTCTGTTTCTGTGGGCATCACTACATTCTCTGGCAGTGAATTCAAATTCATCGGTGCTTGGTTTTGCTTTTAGAAGAAACAAGTATATACCCTGACCTGGATAGCCCAGGCAAGCCTGATCTCGTCAGATCTCAGAAGCTAAGCAGGGTCGACTCCGGCAAGTACTTGGATGGGAGACCTCCTTGGAATGCCAGAGGCTGGAGGTGGGGGCAGGCTTTATTCAGCCACCTCTCTGAATATCCTCCAGGCCCCCAGTAGGGGTCAGTCACCAGAGGTCGCCTTGACTTCAAGGTGCACTCTCTCTCGGTAAAGGAGCATATGTTAAAATGGGCAATCAATATGAATAAAGAAATATCTATGTCATCATGGGAATTTTTGTGGAGGAATGCAATGAAAATATCAACATGTATTAATTTAAAAGAAAATTGTTATAAGATGATGTATAGATGGTATACGACGCCAAAAAAGATTGCAAATATGAATAGTAATGTTTCAAATAAGTGTTGGAAATGTAAAAAAAATAGAAGGTTCATTATACCATATGTGGTGGACCTGTGAAAAAGCGAAAGAATTTTGGACTGATATACATGTAGAAATGGAAAAGATAACGAATAGTAAATTTAAAAAACAACCAGAAATATTATTGTTAGGTTTAAAGATGAAAGAAGTTAACATGACAAAAAGGACATTAATGTGGTATATGATAGCAGCTGCAAGAATAGTGTACGCTCAATACTGGAAACTGGAGAGAATCCCAGGCATAGAAGAATGGATTAGAAAACTGCTTTTTATGGCAGAAATGGACAAAATGACAAGAAAGCTGAAAGGTCTAGAGGCGGAAGAATTCTTTGCGGACTGGAAGGATTTTAAGGAATATTTAGAGAAGTATTGGGATGTAAAAAACAATCTGATTTGCTTTGAAAATTATTAAGTGAAATGTAACAGAGAAAAGAAATAGACTTATAATGATAAATATATGAACGGTTGTTACCTATAGCTATGTGATAAAGGATTAGAAACATGTTAGAATCTAAGATTTGAACTGGTGGTGGGAACGCTGTTGGAAGCCTATGAAAGGGGGGGAGTAGTAGAAAAGGATATATATTGAAGTTGATACAATGTGAATGTGTATTATCCTAATAAAAGTTGTTTTTAAAAAAAGGTGCACTCTCTCTCTCTCTCTCTCTCTCTCTCTCTCACACACACACACACACACACACACACACACAAATATGTATGCAAAAAGAAACAAGTATATGATCCCAGAGCTCAAAGCTCAGGAGATGCCTCCACAGACATGGAAAGCCCCCTGGTTCCAAACAGAAATCTGTCTGTGAGCATTCAAGTGTCCGGAGAGGTTTCGTCCCAACTGGCATTTCTCAAAGCTACCGGCAACACTGTAGGGGAAAAGAAAGGACAACAGGTGGCCAACAACATCCTGATCTTGTGGCTCACGCCCACAACAAAACAATCCCCACTGTGCAAAACAAGAGGCCAGCGATTGCATGAGCGTTGCACGTGCTCACGCCCATCCGACCGGGGGCGGTGTCGTTGTCTGCAAAACTCCCGGTGAAGAGACACACACCAGGGGACAAACATTGACTTGACCGCCTCCTTCCCTCCGCAGGGCTGTTTACGCACTGAGGCCGCTCTGGCAAACTGCCTGCGCATGGGTGCTGACTCACAACACAGGGCCCCGGCTTATCCAGTTCCCTCGCCCTCTGCCCTGCTCACGTGAAACTCAACACGGCCAGAGAAAGCCATTGTTCCTGCCCACAGACTGATTCCCCTGCCCCCTAAGGCCAGAAATAAAAGCCAGGATTCCTTTCTGCCACCGCAAGGCTGTTACAGGACGGGAATGGGGGTGACCGGCAGTGTTCCCTCTAAGCTGAGTTAGTGTGAGCTAGCTCACAGTTTTTTAGCCTCCGGCTCACACCTTCTCCACCTTCCGATGCAGCCATTTTCTCCAGGGGCAACTGAGCTCTGTAACCTGGAGACCACTTGTAATTCCCAGGGATCTCCAGGCATCACCTGGAGCCTGGCAACCCTAGCTCCAAGTAGGAAAAGACTTGTCCTCTGGAAGAGCTTCCCCCGCCAAGAGAACCTTCAGCAGTTTATCTTCCACATGGGATGCCACTTTTAAACTCAGAAGCACCGGATATCCCACCCACCCCAAAGGAGGCAAGTTTACCTCTTTCGGATAAAAGATCCACACGTACAAAATTTGGTGGGAGTGAAGGGGTGCAGCCCCGAGGGCACAGAATGGGATGACTTCTGTTGGCAGAAGGGGAGTCCCATGTTTGAATGCTTCCTTATGTTAAAAAACAAAACTACCTTCCTGTAGAAAACTAGCTCCTCAGTGAGAAAAAGGGTTATCATTCTGCTCGCTCCCTTGCTTTCTACTTGCAGGGCTCTCTTTTAAAAATCTAGGGCTGCACTCAAAACCACGAGCCTCCCTTTCGAAGGGGGACAGTCGATTCTTCCACGGCACCACAACCGTACCACTTCTGTGGTTTCTTATAGGCCAGGCCTTGGTTGCGTCGCGTCTCTTAAGATGACGTCTCAGCAACTTCCCCCCACACCAGGATTTGTTTGTTTGTTTGTTTGTACTTCAGCTTGCAAATTGGACCAAGACTCATGGATCGATTTCAGAGAAGGGCGACCTCCAAGGAATACCAGGGTAGTGACACCGAGGCAGGCAATGGCAAGCCACCTCTGAAACGTGTCTTGCCTTTAAAAAAAGTCTAGCTTGCCACCTAGTGTGTATAACACTAAAAGAACTAGAACTTTTGGCTGCCAGACAATCTTAGGCTCTCCTGGCGATTCTTCACACACTGCCATTCGATAATTATTATTTATTACTATAAAGTAAATGCCCAGAGATAGGGTTGCAACCTCCAGGTTTGGAAATACCTGGAGATTTGGGAGGCAGAGCCTGGGGAGGACGGGACTTCGATAAGGCATAATGGAGTCCACCTTTCAAAGTGGCCATTTCCCCCAGGAGCACTGATCTCCGTCACCTGGAGAGAATGGTTAAAGATCTCCAGCCACCACCTGGAGATTGGCAACCCTACCTGGAGAGATGACAAACAGATCTCCCACATTTACCTATCGTTTGGTTTTTGGACTTTCCCAGCTTAAAAGAGGAGAAGAAGAGGAGAGAAGAGATTGGATTTACACCCCGCCCTTCACTACCCGAAGGAGTCTCAGAGCGGCTTACAGTCTCCTTTCCCTTCCTTTCCCCACAACAGACACTCTGTGAGGTAAGTGGGGCTGAGAGAGCTCTTTCGAGGACTGCTCATGAGAGAACAGCTCTGAGAGAACTTGTGACTGACCCAAGGTCACACCAGCAGCTGCATGTGGAGGAGGGGGGAATCAAACCCGGCTCTCCCAGATTGGAGTCCGTGCACTTAACCACTACACCAAACTGGCTACACCAAGGAGGCAACTAGATATCCACCCAGAGAGAACTCTGGCTTCTCCGATGTTAAAGCGTCCTTTCCCGACCATAAGGACTAGGAACTTGACATTAAATGAACAAACCAAGCCCAGCATGAAACAGACAATCCTCCAGGAGCTGAAACTCGGCACCTGCATTCTTTGCCCCATCCATCTGGTTACAATATCGCCTAGAGGAAAGATGGCCCTACAGATAAAGGAAGCTATCCTTATAGGACCAGTGTTGCCATGATTCTTGGGCCTTTCGACAACAACTTTGCCCCTGCAAAAAGGGGTCACAACCTACATACAAACTGAAATCCCGAAGCAAGAACACGCAGCTGGCTAAAGGGGCAATCCCAGTTTGGCATGATCCTCGTGGGGCAATCTGTGGGTATTTAAGGTTAGGGATCGGCATACAGGCAGGCCAGAGCTCCATCCCTTGGGCACTTTCCACTTGGCCTGTGACCGCAAGTCAGTGACTTTCTCTCCCACAGGATCCAGAAAAGTCCTTTCAAAGTCCCTCTGCCTCTGGGGCTCAGTTTCTCCTGTACCCAGTCCCCCCCTCCCCAGTCTCAAGTGGTGCTCACCCTCCACAAGGTGGCCAATAGTACAGGGCAAGAAATCACGTGACAGGTCAGTGATGCTATGAACATAAGAACCTAAGAGAAGCAATGTTGGATCAGGCCAGTGGCCCATCCAGTCCGACACTCTGTGTCACACAGTGGCCAAAACCCCAGGGGCCATCAGGAGGTCCACCAGCAGAGCCAGAACTCCAGAAGCCCTCCCACTGTGGCCCCCCAACCCCCCCAAAAGACAGAGCATCACTGCCCCAGACATAGATCCAGGTGCCCAGGACAGAGTGTCCCATCTACACCTTGTGGCTGAGAGCCACGGATGGACCTCTGCTCCATCTGCTTATCCAATTCCCTCTTGAAGCTGTCTGTGCCACCGCCACCACTTCCCCCAGCAGGGAATTCCACATGTTCATCACTCTTTGGGTGAAGAAGGACTTCCTTTTAGCCGTTCTAACCCGACTGCTCGGCAATTTCCTTGAGTGCCGGCGAATCCTTGTCTTTTGAGAAAGGGAGAAGAGGACTTCTTTCTCGACCTGCTCTATCCCAGGCATAACTTTATAAACCTCGATCACGTCACCCCCTCAGCCGTCATTTCTCCAAGTTAAACTTGGAGCCCTAACCTCTTTCACCTTTCTTCATAGGGAAGGAGTTCCGTCCCCTTAATCGTTTTAGTTGCTCTTTTTTTGCACCTTTCCCAATGCTAGAACAATGCGGCAACCAGAACTATGCATCATGAGACAGACAAGATGGAGATGCCATTTTGGGTGGCGAACACGGCGATGCCATTTTCACTAGCAGTCCCAATTCAGACTATACCCTCACCCTGAGAGCCAGTTTGGGGTACTGGTTATGAGCGGCGGACTCTAATCTGGAGAACCAGGTTTGATTTCCCCACTTCTCCACATGCAGCCAGCCGGGTGACCTTGGGTCAGTCACGGTCCTCTCAGAGCTGTTCTCTCAAGAGCAGTTCTCTCAGAGCTCTCTCAGCCCCACTTACCTCACAGGGTGTCTGTTGTGGGGTGAGGAAGGGAAGAAGATTGTGAGCCGCTCTGAGACTCTGAGTGAAGGGTGGGGTATAAATCCTCCTCCTCCTTAACCTTTGTTCGAGAACCAGAAAAAGAATTCCACGTTGCAGATCCCTGTACAAATACCCCAACGACTCCGGGGTTTTGAAGCCCACCGCTTTGCCGCCAAGCATCAAGGGCTGCTTTCCCAGATTTATGGGAGGCGACAGGGAAAAACCCACAAGTCTTGTTGTGCAGCCACACAACCCAGTATTATAAGTGAAGCAATCTCTGTACAAAGTGCCTGCTCAGGCCCGCAGAATTAGCCGGCCGGCAAAGCCCCTGGAGCGACAAGAAAGCCACACACTATGCCCCAGATAGATGTTATCCCTTTGTTTAAATCAGAGTACTTGACGTTTGCCAAGCCAGGCAGCGTGGTGTAGTGGGTAAAAGGTCGGGTTAGGATCTGGCAAACTCCGGTTCAAATCCCCCCTCTGCCAACGGAAGCTCGCTGGGCACATTCTCAGCCCGACTTACCTCACAGGGTTGTTGTGAGGATAAAACCACGTTGGATCCAGGGCTGGCTCGAGGTGTTTCTGCGCCCTAAGCGAGGCTGCCTTTTGGCGCAGATGCCAACCTCCCGGTGGGGCCTGGAAACCTGGAGCCAGCCCCCCTTTTGCTGCTGCCCCCCCCGCCCCCCCCCCCCCCCGCCCCCAAAGGGGGGGAGGAGGGGGGGAGGCACAGCTTGGCGCCCCATCCAGGGCCCGGCGCTCTAGGCAAATGCCTAGTTCGCCTAGTGGGTGAGCCGGCCCTGGTTGGATCCCCACTGGAGAGAAAAGCGGGATGTGAGTTAAACAAATCCGGCTCCTACAAGTTACCCTTCCCTCACACAGATCAGGAACAAGGGCTGCGAAGGAAGAAATTGCCCAGAGACACACGACAACATCTAGGGCAGAGGAGGGGATTCCTCAGTCCAAACTCTGATTTCTGTGGACCACCCAACAGAGGAGTTTAGCCACCTCTGCTTTAAAAATATAGCTGTTAGAGCCAGTTTGGTGTACTGGTTAAGTGCACAGACTCTGATCTGGGAGAACCAGGTTTGATTCCCCACTCCTCCACTTGCAGCTGCTGGATGGCCCGGGGCAAGCCATAGTTCTGTCAGAGCTGTTCTTGAAAAAAGAGCAGTTTCTGTCAGAGCTCTCTCAGCCCCACCTACCTCACAGGGTGTCTGTTGTGGGGAGGGAAAGGAGATTGTAAGCCGCTCTGGGACGGGGCGTGAAGTGAAGGGCGGGGTATAAATCCAATCTCCTCCTCCTCTTGGTTTTATGGCAGGGTTGTCATAAGAACATAAGAGATGCCAATGTTGGATCAGGCCAAAGGCCCATCCAGTCCAACACTCTGTATCACACAGTGGCCAGAAATACCAGTGCCATCAGGAGGTCCACCAGTGGGGCCAGGACATTAGAAGCCCTCCCACTGTTGACCCCCCCCCAAGCACCAAGATGACAGAGCATCACTTGCCCCAGAGCCCCTATCTATACCTTGTGGCTAATAGCCACTGATGGACCTCTGCTCTGGGCTGGGAAATAGCTGTAAGTTTTTTGGGGGTGGAGCCTGTGGAGGGCGGGGTTTGGGGAGGGGAGGGACTTCAGCAGGTTCTAACGCCAGAGAGACCAACTCAAAAGCAGCTATTTGCTCCAGGGAGACTGATTCTGTCAGCAGGAGACCAGTTGTAATTCCAGGAGATCTCCAGATGTCACCTGGAGACTGGCAACCCTACACAATCCTGCCCAGTTCAGACTCTGAAGAGGAAACTCTTCAGACCCGGACCCGGGAACTGGCACACAAAACGTACGCCCTCTACGAAGGCCGGACGACCATCTTTTGGGTATGTCGAAGGGCTCTCTTTCGGCTGTGCTCCTGCAGAGTGCAGGGGGTTGGACTAGATGACCTGATCTCCTCCTCCTCCTCTTCTTCTATCATGTTTTTACTACTCTGGTGTAATGCTTAAAGCAGGCCAATGGAGATTCAGGCTCGAATTCCTACTCATCCGTGAAGTGTTGTGGGCAATGTAGGCCCAGTCACCCACTCTCCCGCCCAAACAACCTCAGAGGGTTGTTGTGAGGATAAAATCGAGGCTACTAACCTTGTGCAAGAAGAGAGCCTTGGAGGGACAGAATTTATCCTACGTTCACGTAGAATTTTCCTTCAGATTTTGCCAAGGTAAGGCTCTTAAACCCCCCTTGGGTCTGACCCATGATCCTGGTAATCCTGCTCTATCTATCTATCATCTATCTATCTATCTATCTATCTATCTATCTATCTATCTATCTATCTATCTATCAGGTGAAGTGATTAGGAGCGCGGACTCTAATCTGGGAGAACTGGGTTTGATTTTCCATTTCTATCTATCTATCCATCCATCCATCCATCGTATCCATCGTATCCATCTAATCTATCTATCCATCTACTGAGAGCCAATTTGGTGCAGTGGTTAAGAGTAGCAGGACTCTAATCTGGGGAACTAGGCTGGATTCCCTACTCCTCCCCATGAAGCCAGCTGGGTGACCTTGGGTCAGTCACAAGTCCTCTCACAGCTCTCTCAGCCCCACCTACCCCACAGGTGTCTGTCGTGGGGAGAGGAAGGGAAGGAGATTATAAACCGCTCTGAGACTCCGGGTGAAGGGCGGCGTATAAATCCTCATCTATCACCATCATTATAATTATCTGTCTCCTGCCTTTCCCTCCCACAGGGAACTCAAAGCAGCTAACACTGTTCTCCTTTCCTCCATTTTATCCTCACAATACCCCTGTGAGGTAGGCCAGGTTGAGGGTGTGCGACTGGCCCAAGGTCACCCAGCACACGTTCATGGCAGAGTGAGGATTCAAACCTGGGGTTTCCCCACTCCTACTTGTACACTTTAACCACTACAGCACACACTGTCTCTCTTACAGCCACCATTTAAATATAAATATAGATATATATTTGGGTCTCCTGCTCTTCCCTGTGGCTCTCTAGAAAGCAGCCAACAGCCGAATGCAACAATAACTATCATACAAATAAAGAGAACAGCAGAAAACCAGGCTACTTAATACAGTGTGGAAGAGCAACAGATAAAAGTCAAAGGAGAAGAATAAAGGTGACCTGGAAATTAGCTATATAGACCAGGGGTGTCAAATATGTGGCCCAGGGGCCGGATGAGGCCCCCGGAGGGCTTCCATCAGGCCCGCAGTGGAACTGGCTGTCTTCTGCTTCTTCTTCTAGTTCTGCTCGTCATCGTAGGTTTGCAGTTTACAGATGCACACCTGAACAGCATACTCAAGATTGCAACAGCACAGACATTTTGATGCACTAATTCAGAGCAAGAGGTGTCAGTTATCAGACACTGTTAAATAAACAAAATATTGCAAGAGTGCTAATGCTTTAAGCATGTTTTTATTTTAAGTTTAAAAAAAACCCTTTGTGTTTGTGTCCTTCAGAAAGTTTATATCTCTGCTACCTGGCATTACATCTTATGACACACACAGTCCGGCTCAATAAGGTCTCATTTAGGTCAGATCCAGCCCTCATAACAAATTAGTTCGACACCTTTGATCTAGACTGTTCCTGAATGGAAACCTAGGATAACGAAGGGGATAAGGGGAAGTCCTGGATTCAAGCCTCTCCATCAGTTACAAAGTTCAGCAACTGACCTTAGGCCAGTTGTTCTCTCAGTGCCTGACCTACCCCACAGGGCTGTTGTGGGGATACAACATAAACAGTCACACAGATATATCTTGGTACTGGGGAAAGCTCATCCTGTGGAGTATTGGTCTGCCTCTCAGCTTTTAAAAAGAACATGAGCCGCCATGAACTATAACTCTCTTGGGAGTGTGTTTTGGAGGAAATGGCTGGCCCGGCCTCCTCTTCCTCTTCCAGCCCGCCTGACAAATGGGTTCCCAGCAGAGGCCGGATGCTTCAGAGGGCTCATATCTGCATCTGTCTCCCTGGCAGTCCGGGGTTTTCCCCGCTGGGGAAAGGCAGCCAAAGAAAAGAGAAGAAGGCAAAATCAAACTGTTTTCTTGTGTTTTGCTTTGTTCCAAAGGGAGCGCCCTTCTTCTCGCGGGCCGAGTTCGCACCTTCTAAGAGGCCACCCAAAGAAAATGTTTTTCTGCGTGTCTTCAAAAACAGACGCCCGACAAAGGGCTTCCTGTCCACGCCAAACCCGAGAATCGGCTAATCACGCCAAACCCGAGAATCGTCCGCACGCTTGAGGGCAAGGAGGGAGTGGTTTTAACACCGCGGGGCTCCTCGTGAGCAAAACAGGCGTCAGGAGCGGCTGCCAGCCGACTTCCACACCCGGATCTCCACGTTCCAAAAGATCCCCCCCCTCGCCTTTTATTATCCCCCTCCCCCTTTTAAAAAGTACTTTAAATTTCAGTGTCTTTCTCAAGAGGGCAACCCCCCCCCCCCACAAAAGCACATCAGCTCACACAC